GTTGCAGTGCGTCCCATTGTCATGAATGCATAGATATGGAGAAACTTTCTTTACAGCAGGGCTTACTAAATGTGCCAACTTCAGTGATTCAAACTATTAAGGAGGTTTAAAAATATGTTGCTGGAATTGAAACTTGGATATTTTAAAAGGCCTTAAATACACTCAAAGCATTTTAAATTTTTTTTTCCACTTGACAGTATTTAAGATTGAGATCTCCAATATGAACAACAACTGCCTTGAGAATTAACTTCTACAAATAGTACTATTTACATCCTGGGTTTGATTGTCACATTTTAATATGTCCATTGTGTCTCATTCCGTACCAAAAGAGGTAAAACAGGCACTAATCACATAACTCCCTTTATGTGAACTGATACATATTTTGAATAATTGAACAACTTTAAAGGTAAGGTGAGTCTGCGAGGTATACTTATTACACATACAATTTAGTGCTTTCCAGAGGTGAGAGGATAGGGGTAGAAGTGGAGTAGGGCAAGGAAGGAGAGAGGTGGTGGTAGCAAAGGGCAGGGAGTTGTCTCTTCATATTTACTTTCCCATGGATTTTATGAGAAGTTGCAGTTTATAGTTGCTGCAGTAAAACTGCTGTTAGGTTTGGTTTTGTTCTTAATTTTGTTTTCTATTAAATTATTGGCAAAACTTAGCTTTTATGTGAAGAGAAAGAAGCAGGAAATGGCAGTGAATGAGCTCAAGCTGTTTATAACAGTGTGTGCTTTATTTGGAGACTATGGTATATATAATGTGGGAGTCTGGAAACCCGTGTTCAGACTGTGATGCCAGCAGAGCATTCACATCTGGTGCTCTGGCCACCCTGATTTCTGCACTCTGACGTTTGTTTGCAGAATGCAGGGGGTAAGGTGTGGGGGTTTTGTTTGTTTTGTTTGTTTGATTTTTTTTTTTTTTTGGTTGGTTGTTTTGTTTGGTTAACCATTTGGGGAAGAGTAAGCTACAATCCCTCATGTCTATTCTTTTTCATTTATGTTTAATGCTAACAGTTGGTAATTATCATTTAATGTGAATATATTTTTTTCCAAATATTTTCAGAGTCCTTTTAGACAGATTCATCAAGTGAAGGCAATTAAATGAAGCAATAGTTTTGTTTAAGAAAGGAGCATAGGCATTCTGGAGTTAGCACACTGCAGAGTCTTTATACAGTGTCTGGAATGTCTTGTCTCCTGAAGCTTAGATGGTTCACTGAGTAAAGTATGCTGAGCACCATTCTGGCCTCACTTGAGTAACATCATCTATTAGCAGTAGCCTTCCTGCACTTGTTTGTCAGTAGTTTTACTAGTGGGATGTTACTGAACGTTCAGGAAAAAGTGCTCAGGGCAATACTCCTTGGGCAGTAAAAGGACAGACATTATTACAGTAAGGTAGTGCCTGACCATTCAGATATTCCAAGAGAGTATTGCTAGTTTTGATTATCAATAGAAATTGTTAGAAAAAAATTATTTTTGAAGAGCTCCAGTGTTGAAAGAGGGTGTTGATGCCGTGAGTTGCAAGTTCGTAGCACATGCTGTTTTGTTTTCTGTAAATGTCATGCTACCTTCTGCTGTTTCAAGACATTAGTCTGCATGAGCCCAAGCACTGGCAGGAAAATTATGCTTCTGCTGTGAAGTAGGTGATAAAAATGCCTACAGTAATCCAGTTGGGTACACTCCCTAGAAGACTCTGGGAAGAACTAACTCCTGTCTGTTATCTCACTCACTGGGCTGTTTCTGAAGGCTTATAATTTTGGTCTGTAGTAATCACACAGTATTTCAGTGGGTAGAACAGAATCACAGTGTTTACACACACAAACACAGAACTGCACTCTAAAGTGTATACACCGGACACACCTGTACTTTAAATATGTGTCACCATTTAGCTCTTTAAAAGATGTATGCAAAATGTCATCATGCCACGGCCGTGTCATTTTAGCAAAGATGCAGACAAATGATGAAAATGCATAGGGTGTCTCTAACAACTTGGTGAAAATAAGGATATGGTGTTTTTTTTTCCCCTGAGCTTTGCTTTTGTTGCCTTCCTTATTAGAGGTAGTAAATACACAATGAGATATGTGCTTCAGTGAGCAGAAAACTTTATTAAAAATAAGCAAATGGAGCCCATGCTTCAAACTGACCAGTGTTTATCTGTTCGTGGCCAGCTTGGCTGCAGATGGGCTTGTGCTGTTTTCTCTCTTGTCATATCAGAACTGAATTTGGTCGTGAAAGATGGGGGCTCTCTGCCAGTTTCCTGCTGCGCTAGTTTATTTATGATGAGTAGATGTTTCTCCACTTTTTCTGTTTACTCCGTTTCTTAGGTTTCTTTGATTTTTGCCCAGCCTTTGCTGAAGTTCAAAGAGGTTCATTGTCTGTAGAAGTGAAGAATTTTAGTTGTCTTTGTCAGGCCTAATCTTTTTCCTTGACACCAGTATTTCTTTCCTTAGCACAGGAAAGAAACTTTTGCTTTCACTAGCGAAAAAGTTTGGTTGGTTTGTCAGTTTTTTTCCTTCTTTACTGGGGAAGAAGCTGGAGGAAGAACCTAGAAGATTCTTTTCCTTTGTCGTCTCTGTTCATGTTGCTTGGTAATAGTTCTGTGTAATGGAAATGTGAACTTCCCTCGTGAGAGAGCTTTTTCAGGGTTGATACAGAAGTGCGAACAAGAGCAGGGAAAATGCTATTGGCACTCCACAAGTAGCAATAATTGTAGTTAACGTTTGTCGTCTTGCAGTTTCTAGAGGTGTCCATAGTTATTCACAGGCATTCGTGCTGTTTCTTGTGAATATTGCAATCAAAATGGTTAAGTCTAATGCATGAATCCATTGCGCACACTTCTCTCTTTCTTCTCCAGTGTATATATGAATTTATATAATAAGTATCTAGTAGGGACCCTGTACAATTAATCTAAATTCCACAGATCACTCTTAAATCTAATCCATTTCTGCATACACAAGTATTCGGCTTGTGTTTTCAAACTAACTTGATGTATGTTTGCTGTTGGCCTCATGACCTGTGTTTCAGGATGCGGTGTCATTGTGCATGTTTGTCTTCGCCCCCCCGCCTCGAAACTGGGTTCGTATCTTCCTTTTTATACCAGGCTTGAAAGAAATGGGATTTTTGGGTGGAGATGAGCTGGCTGTGAACTTACTGTGCTGAAGTGAAACTAATGCTCATGAGGATAGGGGGAGCACTTAAAAGTGGCATGGTTAGGAATGCATTTGCATGTGCAAGTCAGCATATGAAAAACATTCTGTAAAGGTGCAAATAAACATGACAAAGCACACATGCATCTTTACATCTTGCAGCTGCGTTGCAATCATCTGTTTGAGTTCCTGGCAGTGTTTCTGACGTGACTTCTGGGACTTCAGGAGGCTGCAGCAGTTCCTGCTTCCTGTTTTACATGTAAATGCTTAGGGGCAGTGGCCTTAGGCAATGCACAGTATTAGATTTAGTACTTGAGGAGTAAATCCATAGTGTTGTATTTAGTACTTCACAAGATCAGTGCACAAGTTAGGTACAGTTAGATAAAACTGTTGCTCAGATTCTTGAAACAGATTTGAGCCAAGGGTTTTTCTAGCTATTGCAGAAACAGAATAAAATTGATGGAACCTCTCTTAGGGGAAAAACTGCATTTTAAATTAAACCTGTTTTATTTGTCAATGCTTATGTTCGGTGCCCGTCTTACCGAGGGTTAAGTTGCTCTGGAAGACTGAGGTGAGGTCTTCCAAATTTGGGCTACGAATAGAGTGCTTTGCATTTTTTTTTGTCAGTGATTTAACCTTCCAGTGTCCTTGATACTCAAAAACAATTTTCACATTTGATAGCTGTTTGGTAGCCAAGTGAAAATTGCTAGAGGTTCTGGAGATGTGTCATTTTGTTTAAAGCTATTAACAGGAAACTGAGCAGGAACAAAACTAGAGAGTTCTGTAGCCAAAATCTCTACGTAGAAGCAAAAACAGGATGGATATAAAACCAGCTCTCTACTCGTTATTTTAGAGCTTGTTGTTCATTAAAACTAACTTCCTGCAATTGTTCCCAAAACTGATACATGGTGCATTTTTTAAGAAATAAAAGTGCTGGAGAATTTGGCTTCTGTGAAAGAAGGGCTTTATTGATTACAGACGGTAGGAAATAGATCATGTGAATTAACACTTAAAAGGGAATTGTCACTGGGCATTTAATGCTTTACAGCGTTACTTTTTCTTCCCTGTGTGGTAAACAGAACTTTATAAACAGTCATCTCTGGAAGCTTTACATCTGCCTCCATCATTTGGTACTCCTCGCAGAGGTTAAAGCTGGTGTAATCTTTGGCTTTTCCGTATGAGGTTTTGGTGGTTTAGGCAGTGTTTCTGTCTCCCATAATGTAGCATAACATACTTGTTGTTGCAGTAAAGTTGGCAGAATTTCAGATCTTCCAAACCATGTGAAATGTGCCTTCTAAAACAACTGTTTACGAATGCAACGGAACCTACCAAGAGTCTGCAGTGTGGAGAGGTCTGCTCAGTACCAAGATTGTCTGGAGATTGGGCGTGGGAGGTCTTATGAATGTGCTGTCACCCCGAAGTCTGGGGTGCTTCAGTTCAGGCATGCCTACCTGTGTGTTCAGAGCAGTCAAGTAATGCTTGGAAAATCATGTCATCAAACTAGTGATTTTGAAACCTTATCGCGGTAACCTTTTGGAATACATAAAGGGACACACAGTTGCACTGAAATAAGAAGAATCACAGTCACACTAAAATAAGAGGGACCAAAGACTCACGGTGGGTCCTTTACTTGTGCAGTGGAGCACGTTCCTTGATAGGTGTTGGTCAGCTTCCACTGATGTAGCAGACCTGACCTCAGGTAGCACTGCATTTGACAGTTGTTTCTTACTGAAATGCATGAAGTAGTAAGAGTGACAGATTGGAGGAGGAGCAATGTGTTTGCTACAGAAGGTTAGGTTAAAGAGTAATAAATTTGTGTGAAAGACTCTTACTACTTCTAGTGATATCTTTCTTGCAGTTTTGGAACCCTTGTTGCGATTGGAATTACTGTTTGTGCAGTGATTGCAATTACTATTATTCTGTGCCTCACCTGTTCGTGTTGCTGTTTGTATAAAGCATGTCGAAGACCACGGCGTAAGTACCTGTGTATCTATTTTCTTTTTCACATCTTTGAACAAGACTTACTTTTTTTTTTCCCCCCACACTGGACAATTGTGTTCCTATAAAAGGTGAAAATAATCTTGCCTTACCTCTCTGCTACAAAAGTTGCAATACCTAAACATTAAAAATAAGCATTTAATATGCCTCAGAATGTGAAGTTGCAGAGAGATAGTTTGGAATATTTTCTAAGCATTTAGAAGTTCTTTTTCCCCACCCCCCCAGTGTGTGGATTTTGGTTTTTTGGGGGGGTTGGTTTTTTTTGGGTTTTTTTTTTGTTTGTTTAGCTAAGCAGGGGATAGAACAAAATTTTAAATTTTTCCCAGTCTCTTAAAAATATACCTGAAAAATACACCAAAAGCCCAGGACTGCAACAGTGCAATCTTGAACAAAGTCTATAATTGTAGCATAAAGAGGAAGGAGATCTTGAAAACAAATTATTGCAGTTTGTTAGAAAGCGTTAATACTCCCTTATTCCAATAAGAGATATGAACCAATGATGAACCAACGTCAGCTCCTACAAAAATCGATGACTTAATGTGTATTTGCCTTTCTGACTGTTATTTACAGAAAGATGTATTAACACATGAATGTATTGGTGTGTAGACAACATACAAAAGGAAACTCATTTGGGTGATCATGGTAGGAAGCTCCGTACCTAATAAAAGAGATCTTTGTCACCTTAATCCTTAAAAGCAGATAACATTTAAAAATGAGCACTTTTTCCAGTCTCATACCAAATGATAGATAACTTGGCTGCAGGGTTGAGCTCCTGGTTTTTAAAGAGTCCAAAAAAAAAAAATTCTTTGCTCTTTGTGGTTGAGAAACAAGGAGATAAGTTGGCTGCTATCCCAGTATGTGAAGGCTCTCATTACCACTGAGATCAATGGAAGGATATTTAGAGGCATACAGTTCTAAATCTTTTGTGGAACTTTGAAAATGAAATTATTCAGATTTTTGAAGTGAGAAATTGATCTTAAGAGAGGATGTTTTTTACATTACTGTTGTTGACTGTCCCAGGTGATCTCCTAGAACCACCAGCACTAACCATGTTCCTTTTGCTTGTTTGTAGCTGTTGTGACCACTACTACTTCCACTACAGTGGTTCACGCTCCCTATCCCCAACAACAGGGAGTGCCACCCAACTACCCGGTAGCCCCATATCAAGGATATCAGCCTGTGGCTATCCAGCCACAACCAGGCATGCCGGTAGCACCGTACCCTGCACAGTATCCTCCCCCTTACCCCATGCAGCCATCAGGACCCCCAGCTTATCATGAGACGGTGGCAGGTAAGGCAATGCTGAGTGTTTCTTCATCTCTTAAGTAGCTAAAGAGACAGTTGCATTGGAGCCAATCTTGTATTATTTACATTTATTATTTTCTATGACTATATTAATGTAAATGTAAACAAATTATATAAAACTGTAGTGATGGTGGATGCTGTAATTCACCCTTGCTGAAGTTTACCCATCACCATTTCTGTGTTAAGCATTGCAAGAGGAGACGTGGCTGGAGCTGTATTGGCAAAGTTTGGTGGTATGTGGGACTATCAGTGGATCCATTAGAATGTTTCACTAATTCAGTTGAAATTTCATATTAAAATCAAAGTCTAGTTAACATATGTATAGTAGTTGGGTGTTTCTACATACCCTTTTCTAATCTAATATTTGCTAAATGTTTTAATCTATACACAGATGGCATTTTCTAGTAGTTCGTTGCTATGCTTATGGAATAACAAGTCTCTGATCAACTTCAGACAAGCTTGCTGATGACTAGAAGTTAGAATTATCAGAAGCTTTTTTCTTCTGCTTTTCTTCTTTCACAGCATTGTTTTCATGCAGCTTTATTGTTGCTATTACTAATTACCACTTCTGGTACTAGCTGTTCTCTGAACAATTGGCTCCTGGCTGTTCAGAGAGGCCAAAACTAGGCTGTTATCTGTCCTAGGATCTCCAAGCCCTCTTACAAACCACACTGTTCATCCTTCTAGGTAACAAGCAAAATATAGTCCTGAATAGTAGATAATGCCCTTAGAAAGTAACTCTTTCATGACAACTCAAGTACAAAATGTCTGTTCATGGTCTTAAGCATTTGTAAACCAGTTAGAAGTTGTACATTAACAATGTGCAAACCAGCCCTGCATGTAAAAACACTGATTTGGCAGGCCTGTTGACTTTATTTTTCTGTTGTAAACTCTGAAGAAGCTGTGGTTTTTTTATGGGATTACCCCAGAATGCTCTGGCTTCATCTTTATCATGTGAGGGAGCCAATAAACTACTCATTTTGCTTTTCCTACTCTCTGGTTTCTCAAACTGTTGCTGGTTTGTTAGTTCTTAAAATATTTTTTTTTCTGGGAAAATCTCAAAGCAATTTCCATATTGCCAGCTGAGAATGCCTCAAAGTGAGAGCTCTTCCCTTTATTTCTCTTGTCTATTAACCAAGGGGCAGTCTCTTAATTAGGTCACATGCAAGGGAGAGAATACCTCCTCTGTCACACAGAAGCCAAACCCACTCACTTTACAAGATCAGGAAAAGATAACTACACTTGTATGTTCTAGGGATCTGATCAGCTGCTGCGTTATTTGAACTAAGTTGTGCTGTTTGGCAGGCTGGAAAATGAAGGTGCCACTTGAAAGCAGCTTGTCTCACAATACTAGAAAATAGGGATATCTTCTGAGTGATATACATCTAGTATATAAGTCGAACTCTTTAATGTGCTCAGTAGCAGTGGGATACTTTTTCCCTTTAATTTTTTAACTAACTCTGTGACACTTACCAAGAAAGCATTTTCCCTGAAGGAATCCTAAGATGCTTTCTTGAGTCCTTTTTCTTTTGCTCAGTGGTTTATTTTCACTTCTCAGAATACGGTCAGGTATATCCAGTTGTTTGTGCATCTCTGACTTCCACTGGCTGTTTTTTTGGACCAAATCTGTTCCTTTTTTTTAGACTATGTTCTCCCCAAAGGCTAACCATGTGCTTGTGGCTGCCATAATACGCATGTATACTCAAGCATCAAAAAAACCCAACCCACAAGAACAAAGGTTTTTGTGATCTTACTTCTGAAATGCAGATGCTTTATGGGTTAGCATAAACTGTTCTCAAGTCCAATTAATATGCTAGATAAGTTGAACCTCTTAACTGTGTGCTCAAAACAGAAGTTGCCATTATAGATGAAGAATTCAGAATGTAAATTTTACAAATCTGTTTTTTTCTTGTGTTTTGCTTTTGCAGCTGGTGCTGGAGCACCTTACCCAATCAGCCAGCCCCCTTACAACCCTGCTTATGTGGATCCTCAGAAGCCCACCTATTGAAAAGATCTTCTACTATGCTTCTGCATACAAAACTTTTTAAAGTATAATTTGTGCTGTTTACACCGTGCAACTGTAGTATATTTTTCTGGAAGACAGCAATCTTTTGTCTAAGTAAAGTGAAAGTTAATTCAGTGTCTTTTTTTTAAATGCTTCAAGTATGAGGAAGGAGTATTTTTCTTGCAGAAGTTGTTAATTTATACCTCAAGCAAATACAAAAAGAGATGATGTTCTATATACAATGAGAAAAGCATGAAGAAGGAGTACTTCAGAAATAAGAACCACAATAACATTTGCTGTGCAATAATTTTGAAAGGAATGGTTGTTATAAAACACCCAAAGCTGTAGCAATCTTTTGCACAGCATTAAAACATGAAAATTTAATCTCTAAGAAACTACCTGATATATGTTATGTATGTTCTGCCTGTTTTGAAGCTACTATTGTTAGGTAAGCTACAATGTAATACATTTCACTTACCATTCAAAAGGGAATTTTCCTTTTTTGAAACACATTTGCCTTCAGTAAGGGGTAGCGATTCACGTTTAATTGTCTTTGGACTGGTTGCATTTTTCTGTGATAAATAGCTTGAGTTGATAATTTCCTTGTTTTCTTTCCCAATTTTAAGGCTTAAAAACTGTGCCGTCATTGGGTGTTTTCTCAGGCCATTTTAATTTATAGCTAGAAATTAACAACAAAACCAAACTCTCTGCCACTTAGTAGAACAAATAGATCAAAAGCTGAAAACCTGAAAATTCTTCATAAAAATTATTGGACAAGTATTTGTTGTCCAAGTATTATTGGACAAGCTTACTTAAGTCATATGTTGTTGATGAGTTTGGAAGAAAAATTAGCACCTTAATCATACGTTAAGCAGAAGTACCTGCCAGTGTTCAGTCCTGCCTCATCATAGGGAAGGAATTTATTTTACAGGAGAGATGGGATGTCACAAATAGATTGGGGTTTTTAAATGCCTAGGGTTTGTCACTTTGTGTCTCTAGTGGGAACTGTAGATGGCAGGAACCTAGGAATGATAGATCTTTATAAACTAAGTCTGCATTTGAATAATAATATGCAGGGGGGATAAAAAATCCCAGCCCAGCACACGGCAGAGATTAAACCTCCCTTTTGTCTTCAACATTCCCATAAAGCTGAGTAGAGAACAAGAAGTCAAGGAAAGGAAGAGTGGTAGGATTTGGTCACAGCAAGGTAATATATTTTCAGGAAGGTAGTGCTTGCAGTCGTGAAATGTCTTGAGACATCCTCATGAGTATTACCAGTGTTTGCAAGGCTTTTGGCTCTCTACACCTTATATTGATCGAACGAATCATGATTTTTTTTTAGTGTGCTCTACAATTCTATCTTTTCTAACATTGAAATACAATTTGTTATTCCTTGGTAGAGCTATCTAGTCTGTTGTGTGTATCACTGTGATATAATTAGTAAAATAATTTTGACATATCTTGTACGCTGATTTTACTTTTTTAGAGAGGCCATTAAGCCATTTGTCCTGCGATTCTACATTTGGGGTATATTACTGTTTGAAAAACATTGATGGTGGCATTGTTTTACCTCGTATGATGGATGGAAACTTCTGCTGTCAAAGGCAGCCTTATTTCTCTTCCTGATTTTTGAGTCTATTTCTGTGTTATTCCAGTTATTTTTTTCAAGGAAGTCTTCAGGGCATTTCAGAAGAAACTGGTAGAAAGTTTTTATCGTTGGGATTCATGACAACCTATGCCCCTCTGTTACACCTCTCCTGAGTGTTGACGTTCATAGCATGAAATGGTGCCAAGGGGCACTCACAAAGGGCCCTGTATCTGTGTGTTCCTCCTCTTCCCTGCCTTGTAAGCTGAGAAACTGGGCAATGCTTCCTTACACTGTTAGGAGTTATGTGAGAACAACTGAAAATGGACAGTGTCTCCTGTATGGAAGATGAAGTGTTCCCCTAGAAATCTGGAATCTGTGCGGGAGGGCACTGAATAACTGCAGAAATTATTCCCTTGCTATAGATCCTACCCCTGTGTGTTTATTCATACAGAAGGAGCACAGAGACTATTGTTACCTTTGTTAGCCAGCTGCCTGGACGGAGTCTGGCCAGTGAGATGCAGCCAGCAAGCACAGCTGCTGTGCAGCTCTCAGAGCACAGGTACAGCGTTCTAGTGTTGGGCTTCATGAGGTTGTTACTCTGCACCACTCTTCCTCTCTTCCATCTGATGTGACAAAGCGTACAATTTGTGGCAGTGTTAGTAGGGTTATGTTTTGGTTATGAAAGGAAAATCTGGAATTTCATGAGAAGTTGGCTCAGTCATCTGCCATCATCCCTAAGGAAAGATAGTAGGAAAGTAAAGTGGCAACAATAACAGAGGTCCCCAAATCTGAAGTTTTGGTGTAGATGATGTATAGACCAAATAAATCTCCCTGAACACCACTGTATGTGGAGCGTTGGGAGGAGATGAAGGATAGGGTTAAGGAGCCTGAAAATGTTACACCTTTCCTTCAGTGAACATATGCTAATGATAACTATATACAAGTGAAGAGATGAATCATTAATATACAATGAATTACTTTAGTAGTAGTATTACTACTTCAGTTACAAAACTCATTGAAAGAAGAGAAAATGGTCCACTTAGGTCATAATTGGAGCATTTAATCAGATCTTTTCTTAGTGTATTAATCATCATTAATAAGGCATAGGACCAAATTTTATTTAGTCGTTGCCACGCAATCCGTTGAAACTTGTTTTCATATAGTTAAGAGAATGGGATGGTTGTAGAAAAGATGGAGAAGTTGATCCATAAACTTTTAGTTTAAGCACTGCTGATGTGTCAGTCCAAGTAGCTATTGCCTTCACATCAAACTAGTTATCCACAGTGCCATAGGGGAGGAGGAATGGAATTAAAATTTTAAATGTTGAAAGAGTATATTCTATTTTTTTTTAATTCTGTAAGTGCCTTTGTTTCAGAAATGTTTTGTGAAATGAAATACAGTAGAATATTCTGTTGTACTGAATTTACTAGATAATCATTGTTTATTTTATTACATACTGTAACCTAGCTTTGTATGTTGTTTGTAGTTTAAATGTAAGTATTCAAAAGAAATGGCATAAATTCTATGCACCTTTGTAATAAATGCAGTGTTTGAAGTATATTTTATCAATTTTGTTTTCTTAGCCTCAATTTGAGTGTTATTTAGGAGTGTGTCTGCAAAGCTACATTTTACTTCATTGTGTTTGACAGCTAGTGTTACCAAGTGTACTTTAAGTCACATCGTATCATGAGTATCACTTTTGGTAGTGGAGACTGAAGCCTAATCGAAATTACAGGTTACAACATAAAGCAAGGACAATATAAGCTCCAGAATGATATTCTGACAGTATGCTTCAAAGCTAATCTAAAAGGGTTGCTTCTAAGGCCTTGTCTAGCCTAAGGAGTAAATTAAATGCCTGAAGTTTGAAAGCATTAGCCAACAAATCCCAAGACGTTTGAAAAGTCTAGTGTAGACAAGATGTTAGACTTCAAGGAAGTCTATAATTTGATTGAAATTTAATATCTTGTCAACATGTGTTTTGACTTGTGTGTGGAATATTGTGCCTCATTTATCAGCTTGACCAGTTGAATGTGTGATGCTTTCTACTCTGTGTGAAAACATTTTTGCTGATGTTTTTGTGTACTTTCAATAGTTTTGAAAAAAAAAAAAAAAAGCTTTTGAAAGGTTGTATTCATGCCCCTGACTCATTAGTCTTTCACTTGAAAATATTTTCTTTGAGCAGGTCAAGAATGCTTTTTATAAGACACCAAGTAGTACTGAGTTGGTTGAGGGTGTTCAGTATATAATCATTACTACCTTGAATTGCCAGCTAAGTTTCCAATGTAGGATTTAAAAGAAAAGGGGAGGGGGAACACAAACAAAAAAAAAAAAAAAACCCCCCCCTCCCCCCCCCCCCCCCCCCCCCGCCCCCCCGCCCCCGCCGGCGCTTCGCACCCAGCCGCCGCGCGGAGCTTGGCGAAAATACCGTCTGTGCTCTTACAGGTGTTACATTTTTTGCTCCCCCAGTGACCAGTAACAGTGCTATTGGACTAAAATAATATATCTAAAAACAATGTGCTGGCATCGCTGAGAACATACATATAAGGCCACTGAGGTCCACACAGCAAGCATTGCACAATAACCCATTAAAATAAACATTTGCAACCACAGATAGCTGGACTGAAATCCCTGCTCTGATACAAATAACATCTGGACAACTTTTGTATGCATCTTCCAGCATAAAACACCCTTGAGAAAAAATAGAAGGCAAGCTAAAAGACAAAGGACCACTAAAGATTTTATTATGCTATGGGTGTGGTGCGCCTTGTCTAGCCTAAGGAGTAAATTAAATGCCTGAAGTTTGAAAGCATTAGCCAACAAATCCCAAGACGTTTGAAAAGTCTAGTGTAGACAAGATGTTAGACTTCAAGGAAGTCTATAATTTGATTGAAATTTAATATCTTGTCAACATGTGTTTTGACTTGCATTTATCATATTGTGCCTCATTTATCAGCTTGACCAGTTGAATGTGTGAAAACATTTTTGCTGATGTTTTTGTGTACTTTCAATAGTTTTGAAAAAAAAAAAAAAAAGCTTTTGAAAGGTTGTATTCATGCCCCTGACTCATTAGTCTTTCACTTGAAAATATTTTCTTTGAGCAGGTCAAGAATGCTTTTTATAAGACACCAAGTAGTACTGAGTTGGTTGAGGGTGTTCAGTATATAATCATTACTACCTTGAATTGCCAGCTAAGTTTCCAATGTAGGATTTAAAAGAAAAGGGGAGGGGGAACACAAACAAAAAAAAAAACAACCTCCTCAGGTAGTTTTGTAATGTTACTTCTTGAATTTGTTGGAGTTTCAGATGCAGGCTGATAATGTGTTGCAGGTCACTTCCAATTTTATTTCACATTTTCTCAACAGGATTTCTATTAGTTAACTAGGGGCAGCAGACAAAATGTATGCTCCTAAAAACC